AGCTGGCGGACATTCTCATCATTTTTGGTTTTGAGCTCACTCAACTGGTCCTCAAGAGTTCTGCACATTTTTTCCAAATTGCCCTGTTAACAATAGTAGTTATAACTTTAGATTCTTTAAATGACAATGATCATGGCAAGTTTGTATGTTTTTCTCTACACTCAAGTATAAGTTATACCTTCAGTTAAAAACAACTACTTACCTTAGCTTTGGCAACACCCTCCATGTTGCTTGAGAGGTCATCAATCTCCATCTTGAATTCACTCTTCTCCTTCTCCAGCTTCTGCTTCACACGCTGGAGGTTGTCGATCTGCTCTCCCAGCTCTGCAACACTGTCAGCCTGCTTCTTGCGGAGAGCTGCAGAAGTAGCTTCATGCTGCAGGGTGGACTCTTCAAGATCACGACGCATCTTCTGGAACTCAGCCTCACGTTTCTTGTTCATCTCAATCTGAGCAGCTGTTGCTCCACCAGCTTCCTCAAGCCTTTCACTGATCTCCTCAAGCTCCCTGGAGAGGTCAGCTCTCTGCTTCTCCACCTTAGCCCGAGCAGCCCTCTCAGCCTCAATCTCTTCCTCCAGCTCCTCAATACGAGCCTAGAAATAATGGTAAAGATGATTTATTGACTGGAAGAAATTCCTCATAATTCCCAGAGTCTATTATGTCTCTCATGTCTATTATGTAAATCAATTGTGTACCTGGAGCTCCTTGATCTTCTTCTGAAGCTGAGCACCAAGTGACTGTTCATCCTCAATCTTGCTGAGAAGCTGGCTGATCTCAAAGTCTTTCCTTGAAGAGAATTGCAACACATTGCCTGACTGTTGATGTGGTATATTTTGTATGATGTGCTGAGAAGAGGTTGATTAATAAATCAACACAAACAGAAAACTTACTTCTTGATTTTCTCATCAGATTGCTGCTTGTCATTCTCCAGATCCATTATGGATTCCAGGGCAAGTTTCAGATCTCCCTCAAGCTTCCTCTTTGCTCTCTCAAGGTCCATGCGGAGCTTCTTCTCTTGCTCCAGGGATCCTTCGAGCTGTCACATAACAGAAAACGATACATTATTTGAGAAATTTAAAAGGAGCATCAAATTTCAAAAGTAACTTATCATAGGGCAAAATCACAAACTAAAAATAATAGTTCCTTACATCGTCCACTTGCTGTTCCAGCTTGGTCTTAGCCTTGGTCAGAGTGTTGACTTTGTCTTCCTCTGCCTGGAGATCATCCAGAGTTTGCTGGTGGGCCTCTTGGAGGGCTTTCTTCTCCTTCGTTAGCTTGGCAATCGACTCATCTTGAGATGCCATTTCCTCTGTCAGGTTTTTCACCTTAAAGTTGTAATTTAAACACATTCCACATGTTAGTGAGCGACAATATATCCGACAACATATTTGAATGTTGTTTATGTACAGCTAGTAATGCAGGTAAACCTTGTTTTCTGTGGCATGTTTCTCTTTCTCCACTTTAGCCAAGGTGAGCTCCAAATCATCAATGTCTTTCTTCAGTTCAGAGCATTCATCCTCCAGTTTCCTCTTCTTGGCAGTCAGCTCAGCATTAATTTCCTCTTCATCCTCCAGTCTCTCAGCCGTCTCTTTGAGTTTGGCTTCGAGTTGGATCTTGCTCTTAATGAGCCCCTCACATCTTTCCTCAGCATCGGAGAGGTTGTCAAATTCCTAAAGTACATTTGGAGATAGACATGGGTTTTGTATGTGTGTTAGAGATATCCATATTCATCACAATATTTATTTTTTCTTACTCACAGACGCCACTTGAAGTTGCAGGTCATTCTTTTCCTGAAGGAGGGAAACCATCTTCTCCTCCAGTTCCTTCTTCTTGGCCAGGGCAGTAGTCAGGTCTGACTGCATTTTGTCATAGTTCTCCTTCATCTGATGTAGCTCCTTCTCAGTCTCAGCACTCTTAAGGAGAGGCTTGATCTTGAAGTACAGTTTCAGCCATGGCCAATTTTTCACATTCATGAATGAACGGATATTGTACTGGATGGAAAAGATAGATTCTCTGGAAAATTAAATGGATTTATTGTTAATTCTGAAACAATTAACACAAATATCTGTAAATATATGGCTAATTATTTGTAGTAGAGGGAATTGTACAATATAACAATCCTACCTCCTTTCCATCATCTTAACAAACGCTTTCCTCATGACATATCCTCGGGCGAGAGCCTGAGTCATGGTCACCAGCTCAGCCAGTTTGTCATCTCTCATCTCCTCCAGGGTACCCAACAGACCAGCTTTGAAGAACACCTGTGTTGTTTCATTAAAAAAAACTTCAGCAAACACATATCCAAAACAACCACCACAAACTTAATGTTGTCCCTTAAAATGAACCTTTGTGTGTCCAAACTTGTACTGAGTGTGGTCCACATCAATGGAGCCCAGCAGCTTCTCTGAAGCTTTCTTGTTGTCAATGAACTGTCCCTCAGGGATGACACTGGCATTCAATACTTTGTATCTACAAGACAAATGATATGGTTACTTATACTTACCACAAACCTTGGTTCCATGGATTACATTGAATTACTTCTACTGAAGATTTACCTCTGCTTAAAGTCACCATAGAGGATTCTGCTGGGGAAGCCCTTTCTGCAGATTCGGATGCCTTCCAGCACGCCGTTACATCTTAGCTGGTGAATGACCAGGAAGTTCTCCATAAGACCTGTACATTGCAACATTGTTGTGTTAAAACATTTCTTTAAAATTCAATGTTACATGAATTGTACAATGCTCAGGGGCGTGTCCAGAGAGGTGTCCAAGGGTGGCATGGATCCCCCCTGAAATCTCATTGGCCACCCCAGGTGCCATCCCAAAATCCAAATCTATGATTAGCTATTTGCCTAATCAGAGGTGGGTTTAGTTAAAAGCAACTATTCTGGCTGTTTTCAAAAGGCTGCTAATGGAAGTACTTTCAGTTGTACATAAACACTTTGCTCTTTCTATAATTATTTCCAAGGAAAAACTTGTGCACACTGTCTAACTTGAAATGGATTGCTAATGTTTTCATACAATTTTCCAAGTCCCTTAAATGGTTACTTTGCATGAACATCTTTATTTTTTAATCCCTTAAGAATGAAACTAAGACAAATTCAATTTTTACAAATTGGAAACTAAATACAAAACAAACTAATACATTAGTGGGGATAGAAAGGGTATAAATGTTTCATTCATTTGTGTGCATGTTCCCACAAACGTCATTCCACCTCTGCAAAAGTTGGTGCCCCAGGTTGGCCACCCAAGTTAAAAGAGTCTGGACACCACCCTGACAACGCTTGTCCATTCATTTCTTACCTGGAGTCTTTGTTTCATTTGGAATCAAGCAGCGCACGAAGTGAGGGTGAGTGCTCCTCAAATTGGTCATCAGCTTGCCCAAGTTCTCCTGTGTATTTCAACACAAGATAATGGATCATTGTTTCATTCTTTTAAGATTGGATTTTTAACTGTTATCCAAAAATATTAAAAAGTACATACTCTGAAGAGGGCTGACACAGTCTGGAAGGAACCACCCTTCTTCTTACCACCCTTCTTGCCACCAGCAGCCTCTGTTTAACAATAACATTGCATTTTATTTATGGCACTACATAACAACCTTACTGAGTTTATTACGAATAAGTGGTCATCAGCTCCTGATAACTAAGAGACCAAGAGACCAAGTCTATCACTCCAACTTACTAAACCCTTGTGTACCATTAATAATTCTCTGACAATAATTATTTTGCAAAAACATTGATTTGTAATGGTTCTCCGAGAAAAAAAACATTTTATCCTATATATATATATATATATATATATATATATATATATATATACACGTTTTCTTGTTTTGAAAATAAGTTGCAAAAATTAAACTGAATCCCTGTCTTTTTGAATGGCATATGAAATACATTTGTATCAAGCTTTGCAAAAATAAATTAACAGATTACTGATTTTAAGAGGTCCGATTCTTACCCTCAGCTCCAGCATGGGCTACATACAGTAATGCCAAAAGTTTGTTTGAAGACTTCTGGTAGAGCTGAACAACTGAGTCATTCAGGGGGTCCTTGTTCTTGTCCAGCCAGCCAGTGATATTGTAATCCACTGTACCAGCATAGTGAACCAGGGAGAAGTGAGCTTCAGCCTTGCCCTTTCCAGGCTTTGGCTTCTCAAAGGCCTTGGTCTTTCCAAGATGCTGGTCATGCAGCTTGTTCTTGAAAGTTGTGTCAGAGGCCTTGGGGAACATGCACTCCTCTTCAAGGATGGAGAAGATGCCCATTGGCTGAGGATAATTTATATTTTATGTTAGAGAGTGAACATTTGCACATGAATCCAGAACTTTGGACTTATAGATATTTGACTTACCTTCTCAATTAGCTCAATGCAGGCAGCCAAGTCCATACCAAAGTCAATGAACTCCCAATCAATACCTTCTTTCTTGTACTCCTCTTGCTCCAGGACAAACATGTGGTGGTTGAAAAACTGTTGCAGTTTCTCATTGGTGAAGTTGATGCAGAGTTGCTCCAAGCTGTTGTACTGCAGATGACAGGTAGATAATCAATTTATTTTGCATATAATATATTGTCTCCTCCAATTTGTATAGGTCTAATTTTAATCTGGGATTCAAATTGTATATTGGTTTTTATTTACGTTCCTGCACTGTTTAATTTAAATGTTCTTGGTATCTGTCAGTTTCTTTTATTTTACGGGTATACTTTGATCTCTGTAAGGGTTTCTTTTACATTTTCGTGCAGTTTAAATGCTGGAAGGGGGGACAGTGAGTATTCCATCCAGCCATCCATTTTCTTTATCGCTTTTCCCGTTTGGGGTCGTGGAGGGCTGAAGCATTGGGCAAGAGTCGGGGTACAGCCTGGACTGTACGACAGTCAATCACAGGGCTGACATATAGAGACAGACAACCAGCCACACTCACATTCACACCTACGGGCAATTTAGAGTCACCAATTTACCTAACGAGCATGTCTCTTGACTGTGGGAGGAAGCCGGAGTACCTGAAGAGAACCCACGCATGCATGGGGAGAACATGCAGACTCCATACAGAAAGGCTCCTATCAGATGGGGATTCAAACCAGTAACCTCCTCGCTATGAGGCAACAGTGCTAACCACTGCACCACCGTGCAACCCCACAGTGAGTGTTTTAGATGTAAAATTTCATATCATGTGTATGTTTTGTAAGCTGCTACTGGATGCTTTGAATTTCCCCCAGGATGAATAAAGTATCCATCCATACTGTATATATGATAAATGATGTAAGTTTTTTTTCTGACTTACATCAAAGATCTCAAAACCAGCGATATCCAAGACTCCAATGAAGAACTGTCTTGGCTGCTTTGTGTCCAGCATCTCATTGATTCGGACGACCATCCATGCGAACATTTTCTCATAAATGGACTTGCAGAGAGCGCTGACAGAATTGTTGACCTAAAAATAAAGATTTAATTTCTCATTAGAGCATTTTCATAAAAAATATACGAATCCTTTATTTTTCAAGTATTTTTTATATTACCTGTGGCACGGTTTGACCTTTGGTCACCATCTCATTTCCGACCTTGACTCTTGGGTAGCACAAAGCTTTCAGCATGTCAGCTGAGTTCAGGCCCAGAAGGTAGGCGATTTTATCAGCCACTGATAGAAAAACAAAATACACATTACCTCAGGTAATTTACCTTTTCACATCACAAAACTTGCATTATGAAAATATATTATTTTAGCAGTTACCCTCAGTGCCATCAGGTTCAGCCTGCTCCTCGCGCTGCTTCTGCTTGAATTTCATGTTGCCATGATGCATCACAGCACCAGTTAGCTTGAAGATGCCCATTTTCTCTTCAGCAGTGAAGCCCAGGATGTCAATGGCCGTCTGAAATGTTATGTATTGGTATGTTAAATATTTAACAATTATATTATTTGTTCAACTTCATGAGGTGCACAACATATTTGGTTGTATTCTTACATCTGTAGCAATGAACTCCTCCACATCATCGATGCTTTTGACTGTGATTTCACCTTGACTGATCATATGGTAGTCATAGGGGTTGGTGGTGATCAGAAGAGCCTCTGAAAGACGAGAAACAAAGCACAGTCAATTTCCAAGAGATATTGTTGCTGTGGATGCTAAAAGGCATTCACACGCATTTTGTGCGCATACCCTTCCACATCTGTCAACCTCGAAACTAAAAAAATGGAGGGCAATATTCATCAGGACAATCCTGCTCTGAATGTTCAAACCATTTAAACTCATTAACACATTCTCACAGAAACTCCATTCAAACATTGACATAGTCCATGTTTCAAAATGAATTCAGCCCTTCAGCCTTAGAGCACGTAATGTCATCAAACAAAGTGTACAAGCTCATGAACATATCTTGGTCACCTCCTATTAAAACAACTACTGAGCCCACAAATTTACTTCGAATACACAAAAAGGCGTCAAAACTTAGTAATCATGTGCTGCTTGTGTTTAACCATTTATCAAAGCAATAGAATGTAATATTTTCCCAGTATACGATCAACTGTCACAGAAAGATCAACCCCTTCCTCATTTACTCCAATGTTACATTTTGGCAGACATTTCAGGAGGACACCAGAGGAGAGGACTTCTTTGTATCGCTGCCCTGGCCACATTTCCCTAATGTCATAAAAATAACATGACTGCTTCATCAAGGCCTTGTGGTGCTCATGGTGCTCACACTGACTTGGCACACTGAGATATAGGTGGTGATTTCAACTGGTATTCATTTAGTTCAGCTGAGTCACCCAGCAGTAAAACAGCATTTACCTTCACCACTTCAAACACACACCTGATCCAGACGAGCTAATCAGTGCTCGTTGACACACTCAAACACACAAACACTTTCTCAACACTTTTTTAAGGATTTTCATCTACCCTCAACTCCTCATTTATCCTGATTGTGTCCTCTTTCCTCTTCATCACCTCCATCCCACTCTTCATCACCTTCATAATGTTTATCATTCATCCTTCAACTGTTTTTTTAACATTAACCACAGCAGTACAGTTTAGCCTGAGCTATTCAAGATGCAACATTAGCAATTTAGCACAAGCTTTTCCACAGTATTATCAGTATCTCTCATACATTACTTATTCTGTATGTCTCAACATCTTCAGTCACAGCATGAACAGTTAAGTGCAAAACTTTTTCAGCATTTAGCATTCACAGCCCAAGTTCTTTAGAAATTGTATACTGTGGTTTATAATGTTGTTACTACGGTCGATTGCACATACCCAGGAGTTCAGGCTTGTGGCCAGTCATCAGCTGATAGAAGATATGGTAGCTCCTCTCAGCGGACAACTGGAAGGTGACACGAGACTTCTCCAGCAGATCTTGGAAGAACAAGAAGATCAAGGTAAGATTACAGTATCTTTCATTAAATTACATCGTACAAACAAATGTCTCAAACCTAAATTTAAGATGAATTGAAACACAGGTGACTTATTACAATGCAGAAAATTACTTACATGTTTCAATGTCAGCTGAAGCCAGTTTGCCAGAGGTTCCAAAGTGAATTCTGATGAATTTACCCTAAACACATCAGTTTTAAGTTTTTATGGGAATGGTTGTGGATATGAAGTCATATCATGAGCTTATGCATAAGCATATGTTTTTCCCAATAACACTTACAAAACGAGAGGAGTTGTCATTCCTAACAGTCTTAGCATTCCCATAAGCTTCAAGTAGAGGGTTGGCTGCAATGATTTGATCTTCCAGCGAACCCTACAGAATTAAAAAAATATACAGTATATGTTAATTTCTGTTAACTGCAAACTTATTTTCCTTAAAAGGCAACCCATTTTTACCTGCATTTTGCCAGGTGTTTCAGCCTTCTTAGCTCCAGCCACTGCAATTGTTGCAAAGTACTGGATGACACGCTTGGTGTTGACAGTCTTTCCTGCGCCGGATTCTCCACTGGAGGAAGAGAGGGATATATTGAGCCATAAATATCAGTGTTCCCTAATGTTATTTGATTATTGTATATCACTCACGTGATCAGGATAGACTGGTTTTCACGATCTGAAACCAACAAAAAGTGTCATAAAATTTCCATATATGACCTAAATACAGTCATATTTCAGATCATATTTGCTGTGTATGTTTTTGTTTTTAGATTTAAAATTAAAATATCCTACCTGTGAGCATGAACTGATAGGCATTGTCAGAGATGGAGAAGATGTGAGGTGGTGCCTCAATTCTCTTCTTGCCTCTGTATGCATTAACAACTACAGAATCATACACAGGAAGCCACTTGTAGGGATTGACGACAACGCAGAACAACCCAGAGTAGGTCTGTAATATAAAGCATAAACATAGTTTTCACTAAGTTACATTCTCTTGCTCAAACCCATATTAACTTAGTAAAGTAGTATGCAAACTTACATAGATCATCCAGGATGCATAACGCTCTTTGAGGTTATACAGCACACAGGGCTCATTGAGGTGGGTCATCATGGCCATGTCCTCAATTTTGTCATACTTGGGAGGATTCATCGGATGGATGTCATCCTCTTTAACAGTAATTGTCTGGATAAGAAATGCAGGGAAAGAACTGTTCAGTGTAACTAGGCCAGCATTAAAATCATCTTAAATGAGATGGATGTCATTTTATTTCTCTGTTCAAAAAAGTAAAACAAAGCTGCTGTTCACATACCTTTCCTCCTGTAAGTGTCTCAACTGTGGCTTTGCCACCCTCTTTCTTGGTAAGTTTTCCCTTGAGATACATTTCCTCAGGATGGACCACAAAGTATGCCGTTTTGGCATCAAATGGAGAGTTCTGAGCCTCAATCCTCTCCCTCTCAGGCTTGCGGAGGTATATGGCCGCAGGCCCATACTGCTGCATCTCTGCGTCCGTGCTCATGATGGCACCTTATTGTGGACTTGGGAGAGTAAAAAGAGTTTTAATTACTTTGAATGTACTGTATTGTGTTGTATGTATTATCATGGAGGTATGTTACTGTGGAAAGTAATACCTCAGTTTATCCAAACTGAGTGGCTGCACAGCTGTATGGATTCTGTTAAAGATTGAGATGGTTGATGAAGAGGATACAAAAATTAAAAACATCTTTGACTGTCTAAGCTAAACAAGGGTAAAGCAATCACCAAGGTTTTTGCAATGACCAAATTTCGTTGTACATGTAAAATGACAAATAAAGATATTCTGATTCTGATTCAATCAAACTGCATGTATCTAAATCCATTTTGAAAGCTTCTGAAATCTATAAGCACTTACTCCACTGCAGCTATGATTTATATTTGATTTCTTTTTTTGGTCTTTTTTTTAATTTAATTTGTCTCGAGGGATATCATTTGATCCTTTCTGATGTTCAACACCATTCTGATGCAAAGAACTCTGAAAAAAAGGAAACCACTTTAACTTGCTTTGCCTATAAATACCCCAGCTAAATAGTACTTAGAGTGAAGACCATTGTCTTTGCCTCTCTAGTGATTCCAAAATGTTTCATTGTTTGAAGAATATCAAATAATGTATTCAATATAAAGCTTTTCATTTCATTGCTCATTGCTGTACAATAGTAAGCAACATCTTAAATATTTAATAATGCTACTTCAGGATTACAAGATATGAAAAGTGACAAAGAGTGACAGGATATTAATGAAACTTAGTCAAACTAAATCAGATGAGCACAAGCACACAAAGCACTAACCTGGGATGTCTGTCAGTTCTCAGAGGAGTCTGGAGTAGCTGCTTTTATAGAGTCTGGAACTGCCTGGTCAGCAACTGTGCACCGCTCAATTTGGTCAAGCATCTCTGTCAACAAGACCTATCCTGTAACATTGTGGGTTAGTACGCTTTTTTCTGTCCAAGATTTAAAATGACTAGCCATCCAATTATTATTATTATTATTTTTTTTTATATCATACATTATTTAAGACAAGGTGCAAAATTTAATCAACACTTAATTTATTTGATAATTAAATGTTTAAAACATCTATAGAGAGCTGTGTCTTGGTCTGTTTTTGTACCCATTATGTATTTTTCTTAGTACAATATACTCAAATGTCATTGGTATTGAGTGTCAGAGCTTGACCACATTTCAAATTTATAAAATCAAGTTAAACATGAATATTGCCACTATTGTTGCCGATATTTAACATAAAGTCTCTAACACTCCAAATACTTTAACTTTGAGTCGTATGCCAGGTTATTTTGTAAGTTTAAAAAAAGGATATGACTAACTTTTAGATCTCCTCATAAAGTGTAAGTGGTTTGGTGATGTCTAAAGTATTTCTTAAAATAGACGCTCTGCAAAACATACACAGGACTTTTGAACTGATTTTTTTGGCAAAATAAAACATTTACTCAAAATTAGATCCTGACTTAATGTTAGAAAGATTGTGTAATTTCATAACGAGAGCCTATCTTTACTTATCCCTCCAATTAAATATGTTCATAGCCAGATATGGAACCACATTTTGGAGA